CATCGCCGCCAGGAAAAACACAATTATTTCCCTTTATCCTCAACCGGGACGCGGGGGTAAAACAAAGCGCCGGCCAGTGGCGAAAAGCGCAGCGGGGGTGGCTTTTACCCCCGCCAAAGGCCCGTTCCGGCCCTCGCGCAGGGGCGGGGCAGTTGTTCGTCGCCTCCAGCCGCTTCGCTTTTATTTTTAATCTTTAGAACAGCTGTATTAGTGAAAAGGCATTTCAGGCATCGCACAGCGACTGCTTTAGACGGAACAAAGGTCAAACATGAAGGGAGCGGGGAGGATTTTGGCTGCGGTTCCTCCCAGGCGGGGGGGGCAAGCAGCAGCCCTGGGGGGCCCCCCCCCCCTCCCCCCGTCTCCACAGGGAGAGCGAGGATTTACCGGAGCACTCGCACCCTCCAGGTAAATGCAAACCTTTCCCCGTCATTTTTAGCATCTCCTGCCTGCTGTCCTAACCCAAACTGTGAAAGATTATCTTAGAAAGGGGCTCGAGCAAAGCTTTAGAGTGACATCCTTACTTTTTTTTTTGTGCTGCTACACCGAACTGGCATTATTTTGTTTGCAGTCTTCACAGTTTTCTTTTTGTTTTACTTACCTGAAGCCCCCCTAGTTCTGGCCCAGCCCTTCATCTCCGTAGAGTCAAACTAATCAACGTTAGCAGATGAACGATTGGCTCCCAACACCCCCCGCGTGTGCTTTCTGCTCCCCTGGCGAGACGAGACCTTCCACAGCCACCGCCGAAAAGCTTCAACACCCTCAAGGTTTTTCTTCCCAGCTCACACCAGCAGAGGTTCCGATACCAGAGAAGGGGCCTGGGCTGGAGCTGTGACAACGAGACCAAGAATCTTCAGACAGCTGGGTAATTTGGTCACTCAATTCCAAATGTATTCATGGAAAGATTTATTGGCTATTTCAATTTACTTTGTCAATACAACGATTCAAAGTTAGGTGTTTGTTGTTTTTTTTTTTTAAAGGGGTTTTCCCAGTATTAAGCAAATAATTTTAAAATACAGGGCAGATTTACTGAAGATGAAGTGTTTTTAAAAGAAACCATGGTTAAAATTGCTACTCATCATTTGTAGGAAATAACGTGTCCAAGTATATTCTACACCAGAAACACAGAACTATTAATAGGTTCCCGCACAGACGGGAGCTGCTGTCAATTACTGTATTAATTGCATCCTCTCTGGTACTAAACTGTATCTCAACATTTATGAATATTTAAAAATCAACCTTCATACAAACTCCACAGTTTTGGACAGCAGAGACTGTGCAGCATTCGGTCTCCAACACCAGCCCGCCTTCTGTTTGGCCAGCTCACACGACGCCCTGCGCGGTCGCCCTCGGCCCTCCCAGGACGGAGCTCCGCACACCTCGCTGGCAATCGCAAAGCTTTGAGGGTCTGCACCTCTCTCGCTGGACTCCAGTTCAAAATGAACATGCCAGTCCCAAATCCTAACCAAAACTGAATAAAGCCTATCTGATACTAGACTAAAATCTTAAATCTAGGTAGGTCACGCTTAAAACCACGCCTAGGACCTCCTCAGCGAGTGGGCTCGGTACTCTCTGGGTACAAGCCAACTCTGTCCAGCCCCGGCAGGGGAGGGAGCTCGGCTCTTCACGGCTTCAGGTCTCCTGCATTCCTACACACAAGTGACGTAACCTATTTGTAAAAATCCTT